AACTGTTGCCATTTTGAAAATATGCATATGACATTAATTATCTTAGTCCGAGCAAGAATTACATGTCCACTCGTTAACAAAAAGTTTATTTTTTGACCAATGATACGATTCCTTGATCACCGTTTGATCGTGTTAGCGGTGCAGGCCTAATTTTAGTGCCTTCTTATTAGTATGGTGTAAATAATTAACATTACAAAAAATATTTTTTTACACATATATTGTACGCACTTTCTAGACCTGTTTTAGTTCTTAAAAAAATTATACTTAAATTTTTATTTATTAAAAAAATTTTTAAAGAATGCCTTCAAAATCGACTCTCAGATTAACGTAAGGACCACCTTAAACAACTTTTTTTAAAGCATCTTGGGTTAAAGGAACATGCCATTTTTTTTCTCTGGAAGCCTTTTTCCAGATATCCAGAAGGATAGTCGGAAAATCCGATCGGATAATTGGATATCCAAAAAGAGAATTTGACGACAAATATCCGATATCCGGTACCCCTTAATTTACTATTCTTATTATGTTATAATTTTACCGTTGCTTTTGCTGTTACTTTTTTATGATGACATATGTCAAGATCAAGTTCATTGAAGATAAAAATTCTGACAGTATGTTTATTTGATTACATTACACAACATTACTTCCTTCACAACGTTTTTTAAAGATGCCTATCTCTTACAAATATTTAATAATAAAAAGTAGTAATTGATTATTTATTTTAAATATGTGTTGTTTAGTATATTTTTAATACTCAAAATAAGTATCGTATATACATGTTGTGTACAATCAACATACATATCAAGGTCATAGTCACTGATGGTGATGGGCTCCCTTTTTTAGATGTTACGACAGGTTTTTAAGTGTTTCATACTGTAAATATTTTTACGCAAAATGTCAACAAAAATAGCTTACAAAATAAATGTATACACACGTGTAATACTAACCCAAAAATAGCTGCAGAAATCAGAGCACTTAAGATAATGACATTATCCATGTAACAATACAGAAATATATCTAACATCGAAAATTCAGTCGTAATAAAAAAAAAATTCACAGGCATATTGATAAAAAAAGTATACAATCCATCCGACTATTATACGAATTATCCAGTTATGTAGTCTTTGATATTCCTTTGGCGCTCCGAGGGCTTCCAACGAGTCGTCTACTATAGCAAGTTTACTTA